CCAGGTCCAGGAATGTGACCTGGGACATCTCTCCTTCCCGCTCAAAGCAGCGCTGCCTGAGAGCCAGCTGTCCTGGGAGCTGCTGTGGGGTGACATGATTCAGTGACAGCATGTGGGACCCCCACACATGGGCCTGCACATGGACCAGCTTGGCCGCCCCTGGCTTCTCCTGGGGCTGCAGGGACTTGGCCCCTTTCTCCCCAGCCCGGAGGGTGCCCTGAGCCAGGTCCCCTGCCTTTGCCCACCTCCCAGAACATGGAGCTGGCAGCCAGCGCTCAGGCTGCTCGTGCCCCCCTCCCTGAGCTGGACTCCCTGAGGAAGAAGGCAAGGCGCGTGGAGAGACTGGAGGTGGAGGCAATGGGCCTCAGGCAGAAGCAGAAAGACATAGTAAACTTCTATGCATCCCGCATGAAGGTGAGGCTGACCAGGGTAGGCGGCCGGTGGGCACTTGGGTCATGGAAGAGTGGAGAGGGGCCACGATGCCTCCCCAGCTGGCCCTCTCCCTGCATCGCAGACTGACTGCCCGACCCCTGGGCTCCCTCCTGTAGTGGAAGGAATAGGATTGGGAATGTGGTTGAAAGGCCCTGATTCTTCTAGGACTTTTCCTTCTCCTCCTTCATGCCACAATGATGACTTTCTATTCACTAATCTTTTTCTTTAAGACTTCTTGTAATTTCTATGGCTAAATCTTACCAGGACTGCTTCCTCGTCTATAAAACAGAGATACCTGTACTAGTCTGTGAGGTTTATACAATGAAAGAGGTAAAATACCTGGTATTTGGGCAAGTCCCATATTAAGCTCTCCGTGGTGTAGCCTACTCGGATCCCAAGGTTATGGGTCTGTTCAGAGGAGGGTGTCAGGGCTGAGGGGGGATGGAGACCAAGGCCCAGGCAGGGTTACTGACGCTCTGACCATGCACCCAACTGCCTCACGTGAGCAGTGAGTTCAGGACCCTCTCTTCCAGGCTTGTTTGCTCCTCCCACCTACTCAGGGAGTGGCTGTTCCCGCTGGAATGTTGGTGGCTCACTGCTCTGCTCCCTGGGGAGAAGGCACCCTGGGTGCTGTGCCCAAGCAGCCCGGCCCAGGAGGGGTGGGGGTGGGGACCAGCTCTGGGCTTTGTCCTGGAAATGGTCCCCTGGCCCTGCTGGTGACGAAGGGCATCAATCTGCAGCACAGACAGGTGAGGGGCACGGGCACCCTCACTCACAGGTAGGAGGGTTGCGGAAGGTCATGTGCAAGCTTCCCCAGGCTGCGGCCTCCACTGCCTCCTGCACACTGGGGACCTAAGGCAGCCCCCACATCTCAGCCGACACTCTGCCCCGGGGATGGGGGTGGGTTTCAGGGCTCAGCCCCTGTCTCCGTGTCTTTTCCGGACCTGTCCAAGCAGCCTCGCTCAGTCATGCAGACGCAGTGACTGAAGGCCTGTGTGGCACCAAGCCCTGCGCCAGGAGCAGGGGATCTAACACAAAGCAAGACTCGCTCCTGGCACTGGGGAGCTTCTGGGCTTTTGCAGGGCTTCCCATGGGAACCCATTTTCGTGTTCTCAAGGTGTGTGCCTCTGGATAACAGCAGCAACATTTCTCATATTGAATAATAATTTTTCTCTGAAACTAGTAATGCCTTACACTTTGCATTAGTAAATGAATTACAAGAGAAACAGAGTGGTCCGTGGAGGCCAGGCCACATACAGAATGAGTCACACTGTTCTCCGAGGCCCGTGTGCCGGGGCCCAGGGATCAGCGAGAACAGTGCTCACACCAATTCCGGCTGGGTTTTGAAGGCTGGGTAGGAGTTGGTTGTAAGGGTAAATGGGGCAGGCTGTGCTATGGAACTCAGGGCCTGGGATTATGGTGATACTGGTGAGTACTGGTGGGTAGACTGGCTGGAACACTAGATCAGAATGCTGGGGGCAGTGGCCAAAGAGAAAGAGTTAGACCTTCTTCCTGTGTGAATCCCCTCCATGTACTCTGGCTCACATCGCTGATACTAGTCCGGGCTCCTTAAGGATGGGGTGCAGGCTGCTGAAGGCAGTGAAGCGACAGGTCTGGAGCTCTCCAGCCTGAGTTCAAGCCCAACTTCACCACTGGCTGGCTTTGTGACTTGGGGCTCATTCCTTAATTGACCCAAGTCAGCCTCTTCGTGTGTAGGAAGGGACTGTCCCTGCCTCCTTCTGGGGGCTATTGTGCAGAGTGAATATGGCAGAGACAGAGAGCACCTAGTGCAGGGCCAGGGTTAGGCAGAGAGGGGGCCGCCAGGTGAAGCCAGAGTCAGTGACCAAACCCTTCCCGCTGCCAGGCTTTGACCAGAACCGTGTCCACTGGTGGTAGGTGTACGGTTTCCCCTCCACCGAGAATCTGGGGTTCTGGACTGTGCGGGGAAATGAACAGGTGATGGATAAGCAGGAGCTACCGGCCTGCTCTCATGAGTGGGGCAAGCCTTGGAAAACTGCTCCCTGAGAGAAACAGACACATCTGCGAGTATCAGTGCTCACAAACTGTGAGGGCATTCAGGGGAGACTCGGCCCCCTAAGACATGAGTGGCGCTGGGAGGACTCTGGAGGGCAGGACCAGGGCTGAGGGGAATGAACTGAACGGTTCCCCTGTGTGCTGGGCACTGGGATAGGAGTAAGTACCGTGGACTCTTCCCATTAGGTGGCCTTTGAGGGCCCAGCCATTGCGTCCCACTCCCAGCATGTGCCTGACACACAGAGGCCCATAGTACTTGTTTGTTGTGTCTTACAGACCCCTCATTTCCAGGAAACTGCTGAGAGTAGGTGTGTGAAATGTTCAAATAGGAAGTGCATATTGACCAAAAGCTTATCTGAATTTTGTTCCAGAACCAAGATCAGTGGAGTGACTGAGAGGCCTAGCCTCAGCCCTCAAACCCAGGACTAACTCTCAGCCCCACCCCTTCTTTGTGAAGGAAAGGGGCTCAGCCAAGCCCCATATCTGTCAGCAGGTGCACTCGTCCAACCACCCGAGGTCGTACGTGTCAGACACTGTCACAGTGTTCCCTTCCCAAAGTTAAATAGTGTCTTGCTTCGGGGATTTTTCCATCTGCCTGGCCTAATGGAGAAGGGCAGGGGCTCAAAAGTGGAGACAGAACTTCCCACAGCAGCAGAGTCACCCCTAGGTTGTTGGTTTGGGTCCAGGTGCCTGGAAGAGCCGTCGTCATGACCAGGGGCCTTAACCTCATTGCTCTCATGTATGTTCTTGCTGACCAGGAGCTGATTGAAGATAATTATACCTTAATGGACACCAAGGGCCTTCTCCAGGAGCAGCTGACTGTCGCTTGGTCCCGGGTCGATAAGCTATACGAGCTTGAGGAGGAGAACGTGCAGCTGAAATCAAAGCTGCGCCGCCTACATTTGGTAGGACAGGCTGTCATCGCCACATGTAACACAGATGGGGGCAGTTTTAGGTTCATGCTGTGCCCTTCTCTGATGTTTAGCTACTGGGTTGGTGCTGCCACTGGCACAATGACCCGCTGATGGCGGAGAGTCGCTTGCTAACTTCAGTGGCTTGAGTGGGCACCACTGAAGGCTCCCAACACAGAGAGGGCCTGATGGTGTGTTGCTTTCCTGTGAGGTTGGATGGATGTAGGCCTCTTTGCAAAAAGGGTATCCTCTGGCATTTATGATGTGGGTTGAGCTGTGATGTGTGAGTCCCTACAGCCTTTCCAAGGCGTTAGGCCTGCTAAGGGGCCACAGAGCTGCCATCATTATAGCATTTGCTCTAAAGCCCTGTGCTGTACGTCACTTTGTTCAGACACCACTCAGAGAACTTCATCCCCTAGGACCTAGGGCAGGGGTGGGCAACCCCTGGCATGCGTGTGAAACATGGCACGCCAGTAACTTTTGCTGGCACGCGAAACCCTCTCTTATGGTCTTCCATTTACAATTGGGAATCTTTGTTCTCAGTGATGAATTTTGTTAAGTCTCATAATAGGAGTAGCCTGACAGATGAAAGTAGTAGCTCGTGCATATCTCTGAAGGTCACGAAATATAAACCTGATGTAAAATCTCTGTCATCAGTGATGCAGCAACAAAAGTCCCACTGATAATATCAAGCAGAGTTATAAAGTTTTCTGTCAGACTATCAGTGTACATGTATACATTAAAAAATAAATGTATTTTTCATCATCATATACTGTGTTTTTGTTGCTCGAATGAATTTTATTATTTCTTCAAGGTTCTACACATATGTGCACCTTAAGAGATATCAAGTAGGCATAACATGTTCTCAAAAAATTAGGGCTGGCACGCAGAAGAATTTTGAGTCAGAGATTTTGCTGATTTTGGCACGCACTCACAAAAAGGTTGCCCACCCCTGACTTAGGGCCTAGGTCACTCGGTTAACATACCTTTCAGTGGTTGTAACTCTCACAGCTGGGCCGTGTGTTGGAGTCATTTCTGTGCAGCTGTGTTTTTGGAAGTGAGCAGGGGCATGGAGGCCCTTCATCCTGGGGGAATGAGGACAGATGCACAGGGGCCAGGACCTGTCCAGAGCGTGCTCCAGTCCGCATCCTCACCCCACCCCCTTTTCTGCACATTCAGGCCCGGGACACAGACCAGAAACACCTTGAGGAGCTGCAGGAAGAGAACTTGGCCCTCAAGGCTGCACAGGGGCAGAGTGTGGAGGAGTCCGCCCACCTGCGCTGGGAGCTGGACCAGCTGTTAGAGGGTAGGCAGCAGCCGCTGGTGCCGTGGAGCCAACCTGATTGAAGACAATTACACTTTAATAGATACCAAGGGCCTTCTCCAGGAGCAGCTGACTGTTCAGCTTCTCCCTAAGCCAGGGAGCTGAGCCCCTGGCTCTGAAACTTGTGTGTCAGCCCAAATAAATAGGGTTTTATTCAAGGGCCATTTGGAACTGTTTCATTGCAATTCTCTCCAAGAACATGAAGGGCCTGGCAACCTTGAAGTCAGGACATGAAATGCAAAGGAAGTGCTGCCGGATTTCTCAGTTCCCATTCAGCTAGACACAGCTTCCAAATGACAGCACGCTGACACCCAGAGGGTGTCTTAGATCTCTCCGTGGAGCACTGGAAGCTCTGGATGCAGGAGACATCCCCAGTGGTCACTCACCTCCATTATAGTTGTACCCGGGGCATGGTTTCCTCCGTTGATTTCATAATCTGGCAGATGGGTGTAGTCTGCTCTCCATCTTCCTGGGCAGGGGCTGCTCAGTGGCTGCTGTTCAGGCGACCCAGGCCTCTTCCTCTCCCTCTGGTGTGTGTCCCCTCCCAGCCCCCAGAGGGAGTTTGGGGTTGGCCAGGGAAGGTGGGTGGGGCGGTTGTGCAGCAGAAGCCTCAGCACCCAGCAAACAACAAGCCAGTTCCTGTGTCCAACAATAGCACGCGTGCACCTGTGAGTGCAGGTCAGGCTTTGCTTAGAGATCTGCAGAGCCAGGAAGGTCTTTGGCTGGTTTTTCAATTCTGAGCAACATTCCTAAGCGTCATGGAAAGGCTGTTGAAAGCAGCTGGGTAGTCCTCTCTTCAAGGCGTCCCATCTACTCCAAACCTAAAATCAGTTCATTGAACTAGGAGTCTGTGTGAGAAGTTAGTTTTTTCTGTGGTTTGGTGTCTCCTCACTCCTGGGAATCCAGGCTCTGGGAGTTCAGGTTCCTGGGGAGCACACTGCCCCCTGGTGGGACACAGAAGTAGTGCTGGCTGTCAGGGACTGGCTCAGACCAAATGTGCTTGTTAGAGACCAAGGTGGCTGATGGGGCTGGAAAGCCTCCCTGATTCAGATGCTCAGTGTAGCTTATGAGCCCTTTCAGGTCCGTGACTGACAGACTTCTTGATGTTCCCAACTTCTACTGCTTAGCTGGCGGCTCACGAACAAAGTGTGAATGTACTTTGGTGTGGTTGGGGTGGTGGCTTCTTGAATCAGAAAGGCCTGGTTTAAAGTCCTGGCTCCTCTACTTGTTAGCCAAGTGACCTCTTCTAAACCTCAGTTTTCTTATCTGCAAAATGGGGGTAATGAAGCTGCCTCACAGGATTGCTATGGGTATCTTGTGAGAGGAGACAGTGAAGCGTTAAACTGTGCCTGGCCCACGGGGCGCCAACAAAGGATGGCTGTTCTTATCGTCCTTGTCTTATCCAAAGATACCTTGTCTTATCCTTGTCTTATCTTACGCTGCTTCCTGGGGTGCTCGTGAGCAACCCTACTAGCAGTACAGTGCGATAAGGCTCCCAGGGTTGAGTGTGTGGCCCTGGAGGGACAGGTGAGGGAACAACCCTGACCCCTCATACATTCATGTTTTCCTCCTGAACAATCCCTGGGACTTATCCAAAGTCACGTACCTCCTGGTGGCAGCGAAGGGCCACGAACTCCCATACTTCTCAGGTCTGTGCTCCCTTTTCTGTTCTGCATTCATGCTGTTTAAAAGCAACAGAGGAAATCTGCCTTTTTCTGGCTTTATCTTATGTTTTCATCTCGCCTAGAATTTTTAAAGCAATTTGGCTATACTGTCTCATTCTTTTTCTTTTTCTTTCTTAATTTTTGCTTATGAGAATGAATGGAAGAACTCGTCAAGGGAGGACTGGATCTCGCTTGGCTGAGAGGGTGGTGCGAGCTGACCCGTGGAGGGCTCTAGAGCAGATGCAATCTTACCTTATGTTTTCATCTCGCCTAGAATTTTTAAAGCAGTTTGGATATACTGTCTCATTCTTTTTCTTTTTCTTTCTTAATTTTTGCTTATGAGAATGAATGGAAGAACTCGTCAAGGGAGGACTGGATCTCGCTTGGCTGAGAGGGTGGTGCGAGCTGACCCGTGGAGGGCTCTAGAGCAGATGCAATCGGCTGTGGATCTAAACAGGGTGTTAAGTCAACGTGGCCTTGTGGTGCACATGTCGAGATGTACGATGACAGGCTGAGTCGACTTATGTGCCTCTTAATGTCAGCTATTTCTTCCCAAATGTCCTTTAGGTCTCTCAAAACATGGTCTATCATTTCTATAATGACCTGAAGTTGGGGAGCAGATGTTTCAGGAGGTTTCTTTAACACGTCGATCAGCTGGAGAAACGCGGTTCTAATGCTGCAGCCTGATTCTGCAGATTGAGTCTGGGCAACTGACAGCATGCCCTGTACTTGGCTAACTGTTTGCTCCATTATCTCAGGATTGAGTGTCACAGATTCTTGAGTAATTGCTATCTCCATTATTTCCATTGTTTCAGATTCTGATATAATCTCTTTGTGTGGCTGGATCGCTTGAGAACCTTTCCTTGTCTCCACTACCGCAGCATGTGTTATTTCTTGGGATAATTTGGTCTTCTTCTGTCTCCTGGCAGCTCTCACTCTCGTCACTGGATTGGACATCGTAGTGGCTGGTCTCTAGTAGCCTATCGGCAATTATCTCAAGGGCCCTAATGAGAACTCTTAATGACATTGTGTCCCTGTCTCATTCTTTTTCAATGCAATTGTGAAAGTACAAAATGAAACCTCTGAAGGAATTTACCCAGAGGTGGCAAGTACTGGGCATATGTGCCCCACAGCCTCTTCCACCCACAGACATGCGGGTCAATGATCCTGTCCCCTCTAAACCCTGCTTGTCTTATCCAAAGATACCTTGTCTTATCCTTGTCTTATCTTACTCTGCTTCTTGGGGTGCTCGTGAGCAGCCCTACTAGCAGTACAGTGCGATAAGGCTCCCAGGGTTGAGTGTGTGGCCCTGGAGGGACAGGTGAGGGAACAACCCTGACCCCTCATACATTCATGGTTTCCTCCTGAACAAGCCCTGGGACTTATCCAAAGTCACGTACCTCCTGGTGGCAGGGAAGGGCCGCGAACTCCCATACTTCTCAGGTCTGTGCTCCCTTTTCTGTTCTGCATTCAAGCTGTTTAAAAGCAACAGAGGAAATCTGCCTTTTTCTGGCTTTATCTTATGTTTTCATCTCGCCTAGAATTTTTAAAGCAATTTGGCTATACTGTCTCATTCTTTTTCTTTTTCTTTCTTAATTTTTGCTTATGAGAATGAATGGAAGAACTCGTCAAGGGAGGACTGGATCTCGCTTGGCTGAGAGGGTGGTGCGAGCTGACCCGTGGAGGGCTCTAGAGCAGATGCAATCAGCTGTGGATCTAAACAGGGTGTTAAGTCAATGTGGCCTTGTGGTGCACATGTCGAGGCGTACGATGACAGGCTGAGTCGACTTATGTGCCTCTTAATGTCAGCTATTTCTTCCCAAATGTCCTTTAGGTCTCTCAAAACATGGTCTATCATTTCTATAATGACCTGAAGTTGGGGAGCAGATGTTTCAGGAGGTTTCTTTAACACGTCGATCAGCTGGAGAAACGCGGTTCTAATGCTGCAGCCTGATTCTGCAGATTGAGTCTGGGCAACTGACAGCATGCCCTGTACTTGGCTAACTGTTTGCTCCATTATCTCAGGATTGAGTGTCACAGATTCTTGAGTAATTGCTATCTCCATTATTTCCATTGTTTCAGATTCTGATATAATCTCTTTGTGTGGCTGGATCGCTTGAGAACCTTTCCTTGTCTCCACTACCGCAGCATGTGCTATTTCTTGGGATAATTTGGTCTTCTTCTGTCTCCTGGCAGCTCTCACTCTCGTCACTGGATTGGACATCGTAGTGGCTGGTCTCTAGTAGCCTATCGGCAATTATCTCAAGGGCCCTAATGAGAACTCTTAATGACATTGTGTCCCTGTCTCATTCTTTTTCAATGCAATTGTGAAAGTACAAAATGAAATCTCTGACTGAAGGAATTTACCCAGAGGTGGCAAGTACTGGGCATATGTGCCCCATAGCCTCTTCCACCCAGACATGCGGGTCAATGATCCTGTCCCCTCTAAACCCTCGGCTGAGCCTCCCGGACTCCCACCACTCAGGCTGGCACAGAGAACACACTCTCTTTGCCATCTGTTAGTCTCTGCAATCCTTGACTTGATGGTCAGGTTACAACTTTGTAAAAAAGTGGTTCCAGTAGTTCCATCATCTTGAACTTTTGCATTGGCTTCTCTCTACCATCACTTGCTTTCTTCTTAAGCTCTGCTTGCTCCCCTAACAATCCCAGCTGAGCCAGCAGAGGGGCCATAACCGCCCGAGGAACCCTCAGGTGCAGACAGCAACAGCACCCTGGGAAAAAGGGAGGGCACTCAGATGACCATCTCGGCCCCCCAAACCTAGGGCTCAGGGTGATGGCCGACTCAGGGCTGGGGACAGAGAGCAGAAGCTGAGGCCTCTGGAATATGGACTCTGACTCCACTTTACTCTTCAGCCTCCAGCTGCTTCCTGAAGCTGGACCAGGAGAAGCAGAGCCTCCAGGGCACCATCCAGGGGCTGCGGGATGCCTCCCTGGCCCTGCAGCAGAGCAGCCTCCAGCGCAGGGAGCTGGAGAAGGAGAACCAGCAGCTCAGCAAGCAGGTACCTGTGGGTAGTGTCGGGAACATACAGGCATGTAAGTGGCCAGGGGTCGCACCCAGGTGTCGGTGAGCATGCGCAGCTGGGGGAAAGGCAGAGCCCAGTGCAGCCACCGTTATGGTAGGGGGACAGGAGGCCTCCTGGAGAGGCGTCACGAGGCAGCAGGAGGAGTCCCTGCAGCAGCAGTGAGACACACGATGGGCCTCTGTGTGCCTCGCTGCCTTCATCTGTGAAATGGGGTTGCAATGCACCCACCTAGTAGGTGTGGTGAGGAGGATGTGAGTTAGTG